ACCTGGGCTCGAGCCCAAGGTCTGCCGGCTACAAGAGGAGCTCGTAGACCATTGAACCACTGGGTTCTGGTCTAGCGGTCCATGATTTCCTACTTCTGCCAATTCGTTATATATATAGCGCACCGGCCAGCTAATGTCATTGGTGGGTAATTGACTTTATCTCACCTGAATGTCAACTTTACGTCCACCTTCATCTTAGAAAAAATCTTCGATATCACTTTCATTTTATTTTCATTTAGGAAAACTTGTTTTCAAGTTTCTTTCCAAGTAGACAGTTTCATCAACACTACCTCAGTCGCGAGTTTTCTTTGTGCTCTAATCTTCTTTTTGATTGACTTTCGTCTATTGAACTGAAATGAAGCTATTAAAAAACTGAGGACTTTCCTGTCCTTATTGACTTCTGATATCTATAGATCTTCTAACCGTTCCTTTGACCCATTTAAGCAAATGAACACATCTCAGAAATGAATAGTGCCATTATTTTCGGGCTCTGTTTTAAAAATTTAATGATTCCCCTTTATGAGTTTGAATAAAGCAAGAGAAAACTGTTTTGACAAAATAAAATCGTTCCTTGATTTATTTCAATGGCTTCTCATCATCTGTTCACAGCCTAAATAAATCACTATTAAGTTTATGTACAGAGAAGTCTTAACATAATTGCAAGTGTTACGTAGTGCTAGTTTACAGGAGACTCCATACTTACAATGGTGAAAGAGTTACGTAATAAGGACGAAAGGTGAATAGAGCGATGATTTACTAAAAAGTTGAGTGAAAATGTGGTGATTTCAACCCACCTTATAGAAATGAAAGGCAAGTAAAGTTACATTATAGCGGAGGGGAAACGTTTAAAGCCGAAGATTACGTAATCAAATAACTGGGAAAGGAAAGACATCGAATTACCAGGACAATGAAAGACTGACTGATGCTTCCTTATGAACAGATAAATCAGGTTTCAGACGTTTAACAGTAATTACTGTGGCAAACTTGCAAGTGTGTTAAAACTATTCTGCATAAAAACTTGATAATTTCTTTAGGCTGCACAAAACTGATGAGAAGCCCACGAGACCAGTGATGGTATCATCTTAATCTGCGCAAACTTTTGGTTTTGATTTACTCAAAATTTATGATCTCACGACATGAAGTGAACACACTCGACAACACCTCGGATCAAAGAAAACCAATAGCATGCTTTTATTTAGCCAAAATGTTGTGTAATCACATTAATCCGTTGCAAATTCAAAGAAATCGGCGTTTATTCACAACAAAACCGATGTATTGTAGTAATCGAGGATAAGAGATGATAATACAAATTAAATATATCAGCCGTTTTCTGTCTGACTAGTTATTTCAGCTTCATAAATTGAGGAAAGACAGAATTGAAATGGGTCGAAGTTAACCAGAATCCCTTGATGACGATTCAAGTTTTCAATAAATATTTACTTTTTGTCTTCATGAAAGGTAGATATTATGATGATTGATGTACTCGAAGATCCGTTTTATTGTCAAGTGTTTGTCTGCAGGGATTTGATTGGTTAAATGACTGGTCACGAGGTATAATCGGTTGGAGAACCGCTGGAATGCAACGGAGAGTGCTGGACAGCGGTTTCATCCTATTTTGGGAATCTTCATCGATACGCACCCACGAGGTTCTAAATGATGACCTTCTGGTTACGAGGGTAGCTCGTAGACGAATAAGCCACTGGGACCTGACTCAGTTGCCTGTCTATGAATTTAAACTTTTGCAAATTCGTGGTATATATTTAGCGCAACCGCCAGCCAGTGTCACGAGCAAGTAACTTTCCACATGTGTGATTTGGAGGTAACTTCCTGTATAGTTTGCGAAATTTCTAGTGTCCTAATTCAATTAAATATATTTTCACTGATTTGTCAAAATCTGCAGTCATTCTTAACATCAAATATACCATTCTGTATGCACTGGTCACTATTAAATAATTTATTCATGTAGGTCAAAAGTGATTGCATCAAAGTTGGCATTTTGAACTTGCCATAAATATGCATTCGATGTGGTACATCAATGTCTAAAATACCATGTAGCATTCACTGGATAATGGCTAATTCTGAGTTCACCATATAATGCTTAAATTTGGACAACGTGATGGATAAATACAACGATCTATTTATAGGAAACCTACCTAGGTAGGATAGTATCTTAATTACCACAGCTTCTCCGCTGTTCAGTATAAAAGAGCCTTAGTGAGGTGCCTCTCTACTAGGACTCAGGAAATAAGTACAATGGATACATTTGAAGATGAGGAAAGAAAATTGGCAGAAACTCTGGTCGATAATAATTATCTGGAGAAGTTCATAAGAAGATATATTATTATTATTGTTTACTTTAATTCCTAGAGGAACATAGGGCTTCAGCCGTGCGTCTCCATTGCGTTCGGTTCTCTGCTAGAGTCTTCACCTGGCTCCAAGTCTGCCCACACGTTTTCATCTTCTCTTCACATGACCTCCTCCAAGTCACCCTCGCACTGACGACCAACTCGCCGCTTCCCTTTCGGGTTCCACTCGAGCGATGGCTTGTCTAGTGATGTCATTTGATGGTTTCCTCAGAGTATGGCCAATCCATCTCCATTTCTTCCTGCCTATTTGTTTCACAATCGGTTCCTGGTTGGTTCGTTCATTGCCAGAGATCCCTGTTGCTGATCTTTTCTGGCCAACCATCTGATCTTGAGTATTGAGCGAAGACAGCTGTTGATGAAGGTCTGTAGTTTGTTTGAGGTGCTCTTCATGACGCGCAGTGCAAGTCTCTGATCCGTATAGTAGCACTGACTGACTTCACATTGGAGTTTAAAATCCGGATCTTATTATTCATGCTGATTGCTGTTGACCTCCACACAGACTTGAGAGTAATGAAAGCTTGTCTTGCCTTTCCGATTCTTGCTTTGATATCCTCGTCAGTTCCGCCTGTAGTTGAAATGATGCTTCCGGGGTAGGTAAAATAGGTTGTTTCTTTCAGGTTCCTCCCATTTATGCTGATTGTTGTCTGGTGTGGTTGTTGCTGTCGGTGGTGTTGCCCAGGAATCTTCATCACCTCTGTTTTCTCTATGTTTACTTGAAGTCGTATCTTCTCTGGATGCTTCTTCTGCCAACTTGTTGCTTTTCACTCGCATATCTTCCAGTTTGTGGGAAATCAGACATATATCATCATGGGCGAAGTGCAGATCCTCCAAGTTTTTTGTGGGGGTCCGCTTTATGCCTGTTTCCTCACTGCCCACTGTCTGTCTCAATATCCAGTCTACCGCCCGCAATCAGGAAAATCATTGGAGATAGTAGGCAGCCAGCCAGCTTGTCTTACTCCCGTCTTCACTTCGAAGGGTTCTGTGAGTTTCCTGTTGTGGATTACTTGGCATGCAGCATTGTCGTACAGCTGTTGGATGAGATGTATTATTGTCGGTGGCACCCCATAGTAGCGAAGTAGTTGCCAAATCACCTCTCGGTCGACGCTGTCGAAGGCCTTTTCAAAGTCGATGAAGTTTAGATAGAGAGGTGACTGCCATTCCAAGCTTTGTTCAATGATGATCCGTAATGTGGCGATCTGATCAATGCATGACTTGTTTCTCCTGAATCCAGCCTGTTCTGGTCAGAGAATAAAACCCATTCTCAAACTCATAGGTAAGAAGGACGTATAAATCAAGCTACTCTATATGCTTGATCATAGTGGTTAGGTAATGAAACAAAGATTGATTTTATGTATTTAAGATCCCGACAATTGAGAAGGAGAGGCCTGTTCATCCATCTAAGCACTAAGAACATAAAGAAATATGATGTCATATACCAGTGTCTCTACGAATTTTTAGAAGCACATGTGGTCACACATGCATATGTAGGACTCATCGACCTTTGTAAGTAAGGGCATCAGGAGCCAAGTGAATCCCATGAACCCATTAATGGTGAAAGCATATTACTAGAGACACAACATAAAATTGATGTTTACGCTTCTTTTAAAC